CTGTAAAAGGCGGCCCCGTCCAGGAAACACACAGCCAGGCAGACGAGCTCCAAGCCGAATCCCATGTCAGAGGATGAAGAGAGCACATCCAGGCAGTCAGGCAGAGAAACAGGATTACATTGGAAAAACAGGCAGACCTCCAACATCTATAAACAAAGGTGTAGATGGCAGCAGCACAGCTGATGTTTCTCTCCAGGATGGAGTCACAGACAAACAGGAACAGATGAGGTGAAGCTACTATGAGAAAAAGCAGAGAGAGCATAAAATTAGAGATTAAACTAACAGATTCTGCAGAGTGGGGTAATAGAGATAGAATGAAGCAAAATTATGAAATAGGGGTCCCTATGTCCTCCAGCAGTCTAAGCCTATAGCAGCATAAAAATGGAGATAGCTCAGGGTAACCTATCACCATCTACTATTTGTTTAAAATAGAAAAACATGAGTTACTACATTGATTTTCCATTTTTAATCAATAAAGCTTTTTTGAAAAGAAAAAAATATTCAAATTAAAACAAATAACAGATGTTGAGTTGGTTTTGTGGGTTTAAAAGTTATCGACACACCAACCGCTCGAAAAAGTAATATCCTGGTAAGGTTGACAGCGTAGTAAAGCTGTTAAATACATTTTTATTACACCCAGAGAGAAGTAGTAGCAACTTGTGGCCAGACAAAGGCTTTGACACAACGTTCTCATACGTAGGTGGGGAAACAAAAGGGTATTTTGTCACTGTGTTTTGTACTTGCCTGGAGAAGAAGCAAAAATAGCAGCGCTGAGTTTCTGCAGAGCTTATAGAAGAGAGGGCAGATAATTGCTCTGTGGAGACCATTTGAGGGTTGTGTCATCTCTCTGTGGAGACCCCTAATGTTTGTTCTGGATATTTCTGATTGGTCACTTTTCTCTCAAGACCACTACAATTTTCTCTCATCTGGAGGAACCATCTCAGTCGCCTTTTTTTCCCCCCTTTCCTGCTGCGGTATTTTGTCTCGACTCTGACATCCTGGGGTCATTTTAATTCTGCCAGATTGCCGTGTAAAGTTGTGGGCAATTCCAGCTTTCATGCCTGGCATCTGTATTACAAGGGCCATGAGAACCTGTGGAGGGAGAGAGGGATTAGATTAGATGATTGACGATCCCTGCGGGGAAATTAGATTCCAGCAGCAGCAATAGTAATGGGATTCACAAGGGAAGAAGACAAACAGAATCTATGTGCGGAGCTGGAATAGAATACAAGGAAGAAATCAGAGCATTTAAGCCCAGTTTGATGCCACTAAGTTAATGTTTTCTTTGAATCTCTGAGACGGTTGTTGCATTTTTACAGTAAAATTTGAGAATGACTGCAGAACATAGATGATGACTAAGGTAACCGATGCCAGAGCTGTCCACAGACGGCTCAGGGTTTCAACCCCATGCAACCACACCCCCACCGTACTGCAATTGTCAAGCTTCCCGGTTATGTAACATCTGCATATTGTCTGTTTTCAGGTACCTGAGCAGAGACGAGGTTGCAGAGGCTTCCCTGAGCAAGGCCCAGGAGGGAGGAGGCAGCGTCCGGGTGGTCACCAAGGAAAACTTCTTCACAAAGAGGAGGTCTGGTTCTTCACTGACGCCGCCTGCTGCAGAGAGGTTGGTTTGAAGGGAAAATGTGGGTGGATGTTCGGCGTGGGATTAATCATAAGTCTTAAATTGCAAAGGTTTTTATTTGGGCGTCATTTGTTATCCTTACATTCTGTAGTTGATTGACTCAGATATTCAGTCCTTATGG